TCATCTCAAATTTTCCTTGCATGAGGGTTGAGAACTTGGTGCATAGATCTTCCTTAGCTGAGCCAAATATGATGTCGTCCACATAGATCTGAACTAATAGGAGATCTTCTCCATCTTGTAGTTTGAACAATGTCTTGTCAATTACTCCTTTGGTAAATCCATTGTCTATAAGAAATTGAGACAATGTATCATACCAAGCTCTTGGTGCTTGTTTGAGTCCATACAGCGCTTTTTTGAGTCTATACACTTGATCTCCCTTAGTGTGTAACTCAAATCCTGGAGGTTGTTCCACATACACTTCTTCCTCTAGGTTTCTGTTGAGAAATGCGCTTTTGACGTCCATTTGATAGACCTTGAAGTCCTTATGAGCAGCAAAGGCTAGAAACAGCCTTATAGCTTCAAGTCTAGCAACTGGAGCAAAGGTTTCATCAATATCTATACCTTCTTCTTGACAATATCCTTTTGCAACTAACCGGGCCTTGTTTCTGACAACAACGCTGTTTTCATCCATCTTGTTCCGGAAGACCCACTTTGTCCCAATGACATGTTGTTGAGTAGGTCTGGGAACAAGTTTCCAGACATCATTTCTGAAAAACTGGTTGAGTTCTTCTTGCATTGCATTGATCCAATCAGAATCAGCTAGAGCTTCTTCAATATTCTTTGGTTCTACTTGTGAGATGAAACAAGCAAGCATAGCTTCTAGATTCTGTTGGGCACTCCTTGTGCGAACACCAGATTTTATATCTATGATGATATTTTGAGGAGGATGATTCCTTAACCAACGAAGATTGTGTTGATTGGGATTGACTGGTTTATTTAGTCCAGCTTCTGGTTGAAGAACAGAAGTTGTTGGTGTTTCCGGATGGATTCGCACTGGGTCGCGATTTCTAGAATTATTGCCGTTTGAGAGATCCGGAATATTGGAAGGCTGGCCAAAATTTCCGGAGGGCTCAGCACTGTCTAAATCCGGATTTCTCTGTGAAGTCTTCAGAGGCAGACTTTTGAATGGAATGAACTCCGTGGGCTTCATTCTATCTCCTTCATTGACTTCTTCATCCTTGTCTGATAGATCCAGAACCTCATGGTCATGCTTTGACGGCTTGTCAACCACATGTTTTTCATCAAAAATAACATGTATTGACTCTTCCGTGATCATGGTTCTTTTGTTGAAAACTCTGAATGCCTTGCTCATCATAGGGTATCCAAGGAAGATGGCTTCATCTGATTTTTCATCAAAAGTGTTCAGATGATTCTTCCCGTTGTTTAACACAAAGCACTTGCTCCCAAAAATATGGAAATATGATATATTAGGCTTTCTCCCGTTCCACAGTTCATAGGGAGTTTTGTTGTGCCTTTTATAAATCATACTCCTATTTTGAGTATAGCAGGCTGTGTTAACAGCTTCAGCCCAGAACCTCTGCTAGCATGGTTGTCACTGCTTCCTTCTTTTAGCTACACCATTTTGTTGAGGTGTCCTTGCTGCGGATGTCTGGTGAAGAATTCCGTTTTCTTCACAGTAGTGAATGATGATTTCATTTAAGAATTCTGTGCCTTTGTCAGATCTGATCTTCTGAATGGTCTGACTTGCTTGGTTTTGAATCAGCTTCATGCAGTTGGTGAGTTTCCCTTGAGTCTCCTTCTTGCTGTTGAGGTAGATTGTCCACGTGTATCTTTAGTAATCATCAACTATCACCAGGACATATTTCTTTCCACTTAGACATATTGGTGTAACAGGGCCAAATAAGTCCATGTGAATAAGACTTAATATCCTTGTAGTTGAGGGTGCCGATTTTGCCTTGAAGGTGGACTTGACTTGCTTTCCTTTTTGGCAAGGATCACAAATACTTTCCTTTCTGAATGCAGCTTTGGGAAGACCTTCTACTAACTCTTCTTTGGACAGCTTGTTGAGGGTTTTGAAGTTGAGATGACTCAACCTCTTAGGCCAAAGCCATAGAAGGTTAGTGTCACCTTTGCTGATTAGACATGCTTCCTTGACATCGCTCCATATTACTTCATAGATGTTTCTGATTCTCTTCCCAGTGAGAATGACTTCATTTGTGGAGATGTTCTTGAGAGATGCCATATTCTTGCAGAATTCCAAAGAGTAACCTTTATCACAAAACTGACTTATGCTAAGAAGGTTATAATTGAGTCCTTCAACATAAGATACAGCTTGGATGGTTAGTCCCTTGTACACCCGATTTCCTAGCCCTTTAGTGAGGCCGAAATCATTGCTTCCTCCAAAAGTAACTCTTGGACCATCATAGGGAATAAGATTGCTCAAAAGGCTCGCATCACCCGTCATGTGTCTTGAACAGCCACTGTCTAAGTACCAGACACCTGGGTACTTAGCAGCTTCCTGCATTAGGAGGAGGAAGATTTTGGTACCTAATTAAGTTTGGGTCCGGAGTAGTTAATGGTGTGTGTCCCTACATCAAGTTTGAAGTTGCAGGGAATCTTCCTTGCAGCTCTAAACTTGTTCGGATTGTAATCATAGTTGTAGGCATAAAACTTCCTACGTGCAGGAGGTGCTATTTCCTGTTTCCTCCTAGCAAACCTAGGTTGATAAGACCTATAGTTCTGTCTAGGTTGTGCATAGTGTGTCCTGTGTCGGTTATAAGCATACTTAGGTGGCACAAATAGCTTCTGGGGTGGAGGGTGACTATATCTTGGTATAGTTCTCCACTCAGAATTTCTTGGAAAACTCCTGTCTACCCCATAATGAGTATAGCCTCGTGTATAATGGGGTTTAGAAGGTTTTCTTCTGAAATTATTTCCTTTTTGAGGTCTGTCCAGCTTCCTATAGTTCTTAGGAGGGACTACCTTTTTAGGAACTTCTGTTGGTTTCTCCTTTTCCTTCCCTTTCTGCTTATTAGGTTTGGCAGTAGGTTTAGGAGGGATGAAAGTTGTCTTCCCTTTCCTTTTGGAACTAGAGGAGTCAAACCCAAGTCCTTTACGACCCTTATGTTTGGTCGTTTGAAGCAGCTTGTTCACTGCTTCTTGGGACTTGAGTATCCCTAGCTCTTTGTTAAGGGATTTCACCTTTTCAGAGAGAGATTCATTTTCAGTCTTGAGTTGAGTGATCTCATCCAGTTGACTTTTCCGACTTTCAGTCAACTTGAGATTCTCTTCACTCAATAGTTTGTTCTCTTCTGTTAAGGATGTGTGTTTGAGATTTATCTCCTCAAAGTCTTTCATCATCTTTTTGAACTGGTCAAAAAGATTTTCAGAAGTTGGTGTGCTATAAGAAGATGAGCATGAGGTTTGTGAGGTTACCTCTTGATCAGCATCATCTTTGGCCATTAGGCAGAGAGTGTCATCTTCTGACATAGTCCACCTATCCTCATGGTTGGACTTCTCAACTCTGCGCTCCATGTAGACGAGGGCTTCTTCATCCGAGCTTGAGCTGGATGACTCGTCACTTTCAGTAGCAACCATTGCTTTCTTTTTCTTCTCGATCCTTTCTCTTTCTCCGTACTTCTCCACTTTTGGGTACGGGCATGCTGACTTCCAGTGGCCAAGCTTCCTGCAGTTATAACATAAATAAGATTCAGGAGGGGAGTCACTTACCTGTGGCTTTCCCTTGGATGGCCTTCTGACTGAATCAGCCTTCTTGAAGAACTTCGTGAACTTCCGGAATTGTTTGACCATCATGGCAAAATCCTCTTCGTAGTTCTCCATTTTTGAGCTTGACGGCTGGCTAGAGGAAGGCGTGTCACAGTTTCTTGTGCATGTCCCTTCACTTGATGGAATTCTTGAAGTTGTCATCACTGCCGTGGGGAAGGGAGTAACTTGTTCTTCCTTCTTCTTTTTCAGCTCGTGTTCATAGGTTCTGAGTTCATCAAGGAGACCTTGAACAGTGTAGTTTCCAGGTTTCTTCCTTCTTCCATGGCTGTGGCTTTGGTGTACCACTCAGTTGGGGGTGATCTCAGAAACCTTACATTCTTTTCTTTGGGAGAAAGAATGTGGTTAAGTGAGGCAAAATCATTCAAGATTTTGTGGAACCTTTCATCCAACATATCAAATGATTCCCCAGGAAGCATTTTGAAGCCTTTGAACTTCTCAAGTAGGACATCTATCTTCTGCTTTCTCAAGTCCTCTGATCCCTCACATAGCTTCCCAAGACCTTGCCATATTTCCATGGCAGTCTTGAGATGCTTGATTTTGGAGAAGGTGATGGGATCAAGTGTCTTGAAGATGGCTGCTTTGGCGACGTTGTCCAGATTGTGCTTTTTACAATCTCTATCATCCCATTTTTCCTTGGGCTTTGGAATGTACTGGATTACATCAGGAGTTGCTGGATTCCTCTCAGGATTCTCCATTTGGATTTTCAAGGGTCCATCCTCAAGCACCATCCACATGCAGTCATGTAGAGCGTAGAGATGTGCTTCCATCATGATCTTCCAATCATCATAACCTAAGAGAGAAAACTTGGGCAGTCCGTCTTCTAGCTACTGTTCAAGTATTCTGGACTGTAGAAGNATCCGGTTCTTAGCTGACAAATCCGGAGGAGTCATTCTTAGACTTCCGGGTGAGAAAGAGATCCGCGCTAGTGTTCCGATTTGGGTGACTTAGCCTTCAGCGGGTTGTAGCGAGACATCCGGTTCTTATGTAGTCTTCCGGATCAGAGGATTTTAATCTGCTTGAGAAATCCTTACTTGTCTCTAGCATTTTCGATTAAGATATCCAATTTCCATATCACTGAATTTGATTAAGTCTTCAGGCATCAAAACGCTTAAAGAAATATCATAACCTTATTGGAAATCTCAAGAACTTGGTTTTAACAATATTTCTAAAAAGAAAAATTACATTGAATATTGGGGGAGACCTAAAGTCCCTATTACATTCTAAATACATCATCATCAAAATCTATGATATTTTTCCCAACACATCCCCAAACGCAAGGCCAGGTAGAGAACACCAACCAATTCTTAAAGAGAATTCTTTAGAAAACGGTGGCGAGGACTCGAAAGGACTCGAATACCAAACTCGATGACGCTTTGTGGGCATTCCGAACAGCTTATAAATCGCCGATAGGTACGACACCTTTCCACCTAGTGTATGGGAAGTCCTGTCATTTGCCAGTAGAGATAGAGCACAAGGCATTATGGGCCTTGAGGAATGTCTGCTTAGATGCTTCAGAAGCAGGAAGGGAACGATTTTATCAACTGGATGAATTGGATGAGTGGCAATCCTTAGCCTTCCACAACTCGAAGCTCTACAAGGATAGAATAAAGAGATACCACGACGCCGGTGTAAAGCAATCTTGAGTGTTCAATGAGGGAGACCAAGTCTTGCTGTACAATTCTCGATTGAGGTTATTTCCGGGAATGTTGCGCTCACGATGGACAGGACCATATACTGTCACCATGTTCTATCCATATGGCACTCTGGAGGGCAAGGTGAAAGTGGTACATTTTAAGTCAACGGTCAACAAGTAAAGAGATACTATGGGGAGCAGTACCAAAAGCAAGTCATGGAGATTTAGCTCCACGATCTTTAATTGAATTTGAACTGTCGTCAAGCTAGTGACGTTAAAGAAGCACTGAACGGGAGGCAACCCGTTATGTTATTTCTTATTCGTTTTTACTTTGAGTTGTTTTAATTTTCTTTGTTTCGAAAAAAGGGATCAAGGACTTGTTGCACCTATTTAGGGGGACAAGAAGTTTTATATTTTTTGAATGTGCAGATGCCGCATAGACCTGCTTACCCGACTTGTGCACGAGCTGATGTACACCTGGTGGGCTCGAGAGCCATTGAGCGTTTTGAGCGATGGGGGTGCCACCGCGCCTTAGCTGAGTCAATGTACCTCTACTCGCCGGCCCTTGCCGAGTATGGGTACACCGAGGAGATCGATCAGTTGCTGCAGGGTACGAGGTGGGAGCGCCTTTTCAGGATGAGGGCCGAGTCGAGCTTGCCCTTGACGATTGAGTTTGTCTGTTCTGTGGAGCCACAGCCCTCCTATGAGACGAGGGTGCTTAACCGTCATTCCATAGACTCCCGCACTATTCTACAGTTCACACTTTTGGGGCATTGCTATGAGCTCTCTGTTGCCGAGCTGGGCATGAGACTGGGCCTCTACACATGGGAGGAGACGATCAGCAGTGAGTTTCATCAGGCCCCGTACCAGCTGTCTCAGCATGAGGTGATCGCTTTCTGGGCTGAACGGTCTTCCATCCCTGGAACAACTTACGTAAATTACTAGCTATAGTAAGAAATTTACCTTAACGGTAAAAACGGAGAACGGAGGAACGGTCGGGGATGGTTTTCAGGAGATGAACGTAGCGCCAAATGTATGAAGCCTCCAACGTATCCACACAAACTTGCTCCAGAGTCCAAGATTAAACTTGTGCTAGCAAGTTTAATATAGGATAGTAAAAACTATAATAATACTATTTTGGGAGTAATAAATATATAGTAAAATATTTATATTATAAATATTTGTTTATAATATTTTGTGTATATTTCTAACACTTTAGAAAAATAACTTTGAACACAAAATAAAATTTTCTTCTCTCTAAAATTGGGATGGCCGAAAATTTGAGGTGTGTATATTAAAAATCAAGACTTCATTTTATAATAAAGCAACTTAAATGAATTTCTAGGAAATAGCTTAGGGACAAAAACAAATTAGGCTTAATTCATTGTTCCCAACCAACACAACAAGACAAGTATAATTTTGTTAATCAAATATTTGATTATAAAATCAAATATATCATTAGGTGGAATATCAAAATATGTTTTGTATTTTTCCCCTTAGAATTTTGGTCATAGCATGTTAAAATACATTACATTTTATTTTTACATCAATAATTATCATATAATTAAAATGATGAAAATAAAAGTTATATATATATATATATATATATATATCGGCGCTACATATATATATATATATATATATTTATATATAATAAAATTTGTTTTGTCAAAATATAATTTTAAAATACATATGTATTTTTCGAAATACATATATATATATAAAATTATCACAACTATATATATTTAATATTACTCCCACTTGTGTAGTATACTACTCCCTTACAAGTCCTAAGTGTGTGACCCTTTAGGTATCCATAACACTGGCAATGATATTAATAAAATTAATATCATAGATAATAAGCGGTATCTAGCAACACATTATTATCCCCAGATTATGAAAAAGACGTTCATCTCATCAATACCTTCTACGACACAAGACGTTCTATAACTATTATCCTTCTATCCTAAATGTCATGATTTAACACAAGGCATGGGATGTGTATCCTTGTATAG